GGCCTCGGGGCCCCGCCGCCCGCGCGACCGCCCGCCGGCGCACGCGGAGGAGGTGGCGGCGGCCGCAGAAGGAGGAGGGCAGCGCGGAGCGGGAGGTGAGGCGGAGGTGGAGGAGCAGGAGCGGGAGCGGGAGCAGGAGCAAGAGCGAGGCGGAGCAGGCGGCGGCGGTGGAGGAGAAGAGCGGCCAGGAGGAGGAGGAGGATGGAGGAGCAGCCGAAGGAGGGCGAGGCCGAGGTCGCGGAGCACTGGTTCTCCAAGTGGGAACGCCAGTGCTTGGCCGAGGCCGAGCAGGAGGAGCAGCTGCCCCCGGAGGTGGAGGACGAGGCGGCCGCCGAGGCAGCGGGGCTCAAGAGCGAGCAGCAGAGGCTGTGGCACCTCTTCCAGATCTCTGCCACCGCCGTGGCCCAGCTCTACAAGGATCCCGGCTGCCAACAGCCAGGACTGTCCGTGTGGGACCCCTTCCAGAACGCGGCCATGGCCGTGACCAGTCTCTACAAAGAGAGCGGGGACGCCCACCAACGAAGTTTTGACCTGGGCGTCCAGGTTGGCTACCAGCGTCGCATCAAAGACGTGCTGGAGTGGGTGAAGAAGGGCCGGAGCATCATCCTCCGCGAAGACCTCATTAGCTTCCTGTGCGGCAAAGTGCCCCCCGCCCCGCCCCCGCCGCGCACCCCCAGGACGCTCCCGAAGCCGCCCGCCTCGGCCGCCAGCCCGGCCGCCGCCACCGAAGCCAGCTCGGCCGTCGAGGTCGACCTGCAGCCTTTCCACGAGGCCATCGCCCTGCATGGCCTCAGCGGTGCCATGGCCAGCATCAGCGTGCGAGCCGGCGCACCCGGGTCCCCGCCCCAGGCCAGCGGTGTCGCCGGCAGCGTGGCCGGCGGCGGGCGCTGGAAAAGCAGCCTCCTCGAGGACGACTCGAACCCCTTCAACGCCGAAGAACTGGCCCTCCGCCTGGACAGCGGGGGGACCCGCAAGCGCCCCTCGGCCCAGTGCAGTGACAGTGTCACAGGCTCCCCAACCCACAAGCGCAACCGACTGTTCTGAACGGCATCGTTGGCCACCAGCCACCATCTTACTTGAGCATTAACTCGACCGTCAACGTGCTCGGCGAAAGGACACTCGCGACCGTCTCTCTTCTCCAAGTTCAACAGAGATTTCTGCCAAGTTCGCCGTAAAGAAACTTTTATAGCCAAGCTGATTTTTTTTTTAATTTTTTTTTCAACGTTTATTTATTTTTGGGACAGAGAGAGACAGAGCATGAACGGGGGAGGGGCAGAGAGAGAGGGAGACACAGAATCGGAAATAGGCTCCAGGCTCTGAGCCATCAGCCCAGAGCCTGACGCGGGGCTCGAACTCCCGGACCGCGAGATCGTGACCTGGCTGAAGTCGGACACTTAACCGACTGCGCCACCCAGGCGCCCCAAGAAACTTTTAAAGTATTGTACAAGAGGCCTCGGATGACTCTGACTTTCCCAAACATCTAATCCTAGCAGAGAACAAGTATTATGTAGGCAGAGAACAAGTATTATGTAGTCGTTTAGCAAGATCAGAAGAAACCAGAAATATTTGGTCAGAGCGGGAGCCTGGTTTATCTTGTTCACAGTTATATTCCTTAGCACCGAGCACAGTTGCTGGTGCTCAATAAATGTTTGTTGAGTGAATAAATGTGACCTTATTTAAAATTCTTAAAGGGGAAGGACTAACAGGTGTTTACTTGGTTGTAGGATACTTTTATCCGTTGTTGTTAGGTTCTTTGCTTTAGCCGTTTTTGCCAGTTTGATTACATGTTATCAAAACGTAAAACTTGGCACCTTGGTGAAATCTGCAGCTTTCTATTTTTGCTCCACTTTACTATGCACATAATTTGTACAGAGTGTCCAAGTCATACATATTAGGCAGTGAGGTGCTTTTTTCTTAAAGAAATAGCTGCTTATTTTGGTGATTGTGTGGTGGTGCAAAGGGGCCCTGTTATGATTGGGCAGGTAATACTTGATGCTGAGTCAGTTCAGTGCTCTTTAGGAGAATTAAGCCAACGATTGAGATCCTGAGGTCAAAGATGGTCGTCCTGGTGGCCCAGTGGTGCTCCTTGTTCCTAGGAATGTAAAAAGTTCCTTTTTCTGTGGTTACATCTTTTTGGTGATCTCTGTTTTCAATTGGAAGACGGAGTAGTCAGACTGACCTGGGTTTGGTATAAGGATGTGGCGGGACACAACTAAAAGAGCATGAGCTTTGTATTAAAAGGACCAACGGTAGCACCCCAGGCCCACAACTTCACCGCATGATTTTGGGCAAATCGCTTCGTGTCGGTTGACCTCCGTTTTCCATCTGTAAAATGGAACTGTGTGTCTCCGACAGGAGTCACGAGGATGAGATGATGTCCATATTTTAAGTAGCACGGTGCTTGACACCCACAGGTACTCAGTAAATGTTCTCCCTTCTCTATAAATAAAAGTCAGTGCAATGTTAAAGCCCACTATATTTTAGAAGAAGCCAGGAAAACATTCATTTAGAAATCAGAAAGGAGAATCTCTGTTTGAACAGGAAACTACTGTTCTAATAGTTGAAACTTGTCTAAATATCCCACGTCTTGTATTATAAGTGTGTGTAGCTCAGGAGTACCCAGGATCATCACTCTGCATAGTAGGGCAGCCTTGGAGTTCCTGAAATTGCCTGAGGGATCCTCCTTACAACTGGAGTCCTGAGAGATCTACCTCCCCTGGCTTGAAAAAATACAGGGGCGGGGGAATACAAATGGAAAAGATCTGGAACTGAAAGTCCTTAGGGGTACCTAAAGGGTCAGTGTGGTTCTGCAGAGGGGTGGGCTGGAGGTGGGGGACGCGGCAGTGAGGTTGCCGAAGGGGTGGTGTCTCCCCCAGGCTCTCCCCAAGCCAGCATATATCGTATTGTCGATGATGAGTAATATCTTGGTTTTAGGTTCGTATCACAAAGTTGTTTCCGTTTCATTAGCGTGGCCTTTGGAGTAGATCTGTAAGCAAGCAATGCATTAAAATAATACGATAAAATAAAGTGAATTCCCTGATAGGATAAAAACTTGCCATTGAGGCACTCCCCGCGTAGCTAGGCACTGTACTAGGCCCTGAGAAGGGATGTAAAAACAAACAAACCATAAAAACAGTCTTTGTCCTCAAGGAGCAGATCCTAACTTGGAAGGTAAATTAATGTAGTCAAAAAACACTTCTAGTTGTAGGACAAGCACCTAAGGACTGTGCAGAAGAATTCAGAGGACAGAGGCCTTCCTTGCCAAGAGGGTCGCAGCTTCTGGGGGAAGTGGCATTTGAACGGGGCCCAGAAAAAATGGGTACAAAGGGCACAGGGAATACCAACAGGGGAAGGATATCTAACAGTTTGAGAAGGAGGAAAGCAGTAAAGTGTGTTTGGGGGATCATAGGAGCTAGGTAGGGGAGGCAGGGGCCCAAGTCTATCTGAGGGTCTCAGATGCCTGGCCCAGTACTTTAGATTCTCTCCTAGGGCAGGGGATGATACCACCCCCTTAGGAAGATGGCGGCAGGCCTGGATGTCCAGCAGGGAGACTCTGGAGCAGGGATAGCACAGGGTATCCCTGTAGGATGTTCTTTTTTTTCGTTTTTTAAACATGTTTATTTATTTTGAGAGAGAGAGAGAGAAGGGGCAGAGAGAGAGGGAGAGAAAGAATCCTAAGTGGGCTCCATGCTCAGTGTGGAGCCCAATGAGGGGCTTGATCTCAAGACTGTGAGATTATGACGTGAGCCGAAATCAAGAGTCGGACCGACTGAGCCTCCCAGGCGTCCTTCCCTGTGGCGTGTTCTTACTGGGGACATTGCCCTTTGGTTAATCAGGGTTGTGGAGACGTTTACCTTGATAGGGCTTTCTCTGGGAAGCCTTTGCTCAACTCCTACCGTCCCACACCTCGGCCAGGTAAGAGGCATCTCCAGTGTGTTTTCTGTACTGCTTCTTAAAGACTGAGAAAGCCTTCAGTTCTAGCTATAGAATCTCTTGGAGGGCCAGTCTTGAAGTAACACAATAGCCGTGACTTCCCTTTGCTAGTTCTTCCTGCTTCTTGTGTTCCAGAACCTTCCTCCAGGGGAATCATTTGGCCGTCTGGGCATGCAGGACTGCCGGAACGACGGAAACTTTAAATGTTTTTATTATTTTTTAAAAAAGTTATTTTGAGAGAGAGAGGGAGAAAAAAAGCACGAGTGGAGGAGGGGCCGAGACAGAGGGAGACAGAGAACCCCAAGCAGGCTCCACGCCGTCAGCACAGAGCCCGACGTAGGTCTCGATCTCACCAACCATGAGATCATGACCTGAGCCGAAAACTAAGTTGGACGCTTAACCACTTGAGCCACCCAGGTTCCCTAGCGACCGTGGTAACATTAACAGGTAGGTATGGAGAGTTATAAGAAGGCATGTCAGGGTGAGGGAAGGGACCTCATTTGTTTTGTTTCCTTCTGTAATTCTTAGTGCTGAGCACAGCGCCTGATCCGTCTGGGTGCACGGTAAATATTTATTAAATGAGTGGATGAGTAAGCCCCCATCCAGACTCAGGCAGAGTTGTCTCCCTTCTCCCTTCTGTTTACACACTGCCCAGGAAGGGCACCTGAAGCCCAGGCTCGAATTTCTCAATGATTCCTCCCCTGCACACCATTACCCATATTTCCAACTATTAGATAAAGCTTTTGGAAAAGTGGTCAGTCGCGTGACCACCTCCCTTGAGAATGTCCTCAGTGCTTATGAAGTTAGCAGCTCCAGGTGAATTAAGATGTCAGTAGGAGGGTCCCTGATGTGACCTGCTTTCAGGAGGAGGCCTCAGTGATTGTGATGCACGGTGAAGTCTAAAGTTCCTGTGCTCCCATTGTGAGATTTGTGATTGATTTTAGGAGCTAATTGGTATGTCTGTCTGCCTGTCTGTCTGTATATATGTTTCTATCTGTCTATCCTGTGTCAAAAGGCCTGAATAAGAAGAAGGGGTTGTTGAGACAATCAGCAATCCTATGACCTTAACGTGTAACGCCACTGGCATCCCAATTCCCACGATACCATGGCTAAAGAACCACAGAGAAGTCTGAAACCCAAGGGACCCCATTGTCAGATTTGTGACTGATTCAAGGAGCTAATTTAAGATAGATCATTGTTGGTGAAATTTCTGTGCAGGCTTCAAGTGATTCTCTTTGTTTGTACTTCTTATCTTTATCATCACTTTGCATCTCTCTTTTTTTGAAAAAGTTTGTTTGTTTCAGTAACCTCTGCACCCAACGTGGGGCTTGAGCTCACAACCCCGAGATCAAGAGTCACATGCCCTTCCAACTGAGCCAGCCAGGCGCCCCTCACTTTGCATATTTCATAAATTTTCCTTTGAGGAGTACAGATGAGAAGACTGAGTCAAACACTTGTTACTAAATAAAATTTCCTCCTTTTTGCCCTTTTATAGGAGCCTGAGGAAA